TTTATTTTAATAAACTTTTTGAAAATAATTAATAGGTGGCGCTGTACGCTGATATCAAGAATTAATTTTTGAGGTTAAGTCAATAATTATTACCCGAATCAAAAAATTTTTCAAATAATAATTGCTTAAAATTATCATTAGAAAATTTTATTTTAATAAATTTTTTTATAATTGTTGCTAGGTGGCGCTACAGCGTACAATGATGTACAATGATATAAAAAAGTTTTTTGAGGTTATGTCAATAATTATTCTCTGAATCAAAAAATTTTTCTAATAATAATTGTTTAGAATGAGGATTAGAAAGTTTTATTTTAATACATTTTTTGAAAATAATTGATAGGTGGCGCTGTACACTGGTATAAAAAAATATATTTTTGAGGTTATGTCAATAATTATTATCCGAATCAAAAAAATTTTCTAATAATAATTGTTTACAATTACGATTAGAAACTTTTATTTTAATACATTTTTTGAAAATAATTGATAGGTGGCGCTGTATACTGGTATAACAAATTTAATTTTTGAGGTTATGTCAATAATTATTACTCGAATCAAAAATTTTTTCGAATAATAATTGCTTAAAATACAATTTAGAAAATTTTATTTTAATACATTTTTTGAAAATAATTGATAGGTGGCGCTGTACACTGGTATAAAAAATTATATTTTTGAGGTTATGTCAATAATTATTACCCGAATCAAAAATTTTTTCAAACAATAATTGCTTAAAATAACGAGTAGAAGATTTTATTTTAATAATTTTTTTTTAATTATCGTCAGATGGCGCAGTACGCTGATATAAAAAATTAATTTTTGAGGTTAGGTCAATAATTATTACCCGAATCAATTTTTTTTTTAATAATAATACTTTAAAATCAATTTTTTTTCCGATTCTTTTTAATAAAAAAAAACATTACGATATATTTCATTTTTAAAATGCTAAAACACCAAAATTCTTAAATAAATCATTATTTTTTAACCATCACCCCCTCCATTTCCTCAAATATTATTCATCCCCCCGATTTTACTAGCACATGGAGGGATGTAGCTCCGCCCACCCTATCTATATATTGACGACACCCCGTAAGAAGATTTTCAGTGCCGATTCGGACTCCGACCGTTTCGGAGTCGTGGGGCCGACAAAATCGGGTTCACGTTGGTTTTAGCCCCCACCACAAGTTTATTCGATTCACCCCTTCCCTTATTCAAAATCGTATAGTGCGAAAAGAGAAAGAAAATCGCATTCGGTCTTTCCTCGTCGTATTTAGTAGTTGTTCATATTGATCCGGCCTGTTGCTTGCAACCCCCCGTTTTCAGAGGGGAGCATGCGCCAAAATGAAATGCCCCAGTCCGATATTAGTGCGGGCAAATGCGAGAACTAGGCCAACGGCAACAAGAACCTACCCCCCCGAATTCTCCTCACTCAGCTGACTTCCAACAGGTCACAGGTTTTTCGTTTTTACAGGTGATTATCAACATTTTTTAAAACCCCACAAATTTCGGAAATGAAGAAATGAGGCACGAAACAACCGAATGTCGAGGAAGAAAGAATTTTGATTTTTTTAAGGGTGAGTCANTAATGAAGTTTTTTGAGGTTATGTCAATAATTATTGCTCGAATCAAAAAATTTTTCTAACAACAAATGTTTGAAATTGCATTTAGAAACATTTATCTTAATAAGTTTTTTATATATCTTTGATAGGGGGCGCTGTACCCTGCTATAATGAAGTTTTTTGAGGTTATGTCAATAATTATTGCTCGAATCAGAAAATTTTTCAAACAACAAATGTTTGTAATTGCATTTAGAAACATTTATCTTAATAAATTTTTTATATATCTTTGATAGGGGGCGCTGTACCCTGCTATAATGAAGTTTTTTGAGGTTATGTCAATAATTATTGCTCGAATCAAAAAGGTTTTCAAACAATAAATGTTTGAAATTGCATTTAGAAACATTTATCTTAATAAGTTTTTTATATATTTTGATAGGGTGCGCTGTACCCTGCTATAATCAATTTCTTTGAGGTTATGTCAATAATTATTGCTCGAATCAGAAAATTTTTCAAACAACAAATGTTTGTAATTGCATTTAGAAACATTTATCTTAATAAGTTTTTTATATATCTATAATAGGGGGCGCTGTATCGTGCTATAATCAACATTTTTGAGGTTATGTCAATAATTATTGCTCGAATCAAAAATTTTTTCAAACAATAAATGTTTGAAATTGCATTTAGAAACATTTATTTTAATAAGTTTTTTATATATCTATAATAGGGGGCGCTGTATCGTGTTATAATCAAATTTTTTGAGGTTATATCAATAATTATTCCTCAAATCAAAAAAATGTTCAAATAATAAATGTTTGGAATTACATTTAGAAACATTTTTCTTAATAAGTTTTTTATATATCTATAATAGGGGGCGCTGTACGCTGGTATAACCACATTTTTTGAGGTTATGTTAATAATTATTGCCCGAATCAAAAAATGTTTCAAACAATAATTACTTAAAATTGCGATTTGAAAACTTTATTTTAATGACTTTTTTTTAAATTATTGCTAGGTGGCGCTGTACGCTGATATAACAAGAATTTTTTGAGGTTATGTCAATAACTATTGCCCGAATCAAAAAATGTTTCAAACAATAACTGTTCAAAATCAAATAAGAAACAACTTTTATCCGAAATTTTTTTTGAAATTCCCGCTAGGGGGCGCCACGCACTCTTACATTTTTAGGTTATGTTAAGAAAAATCGTTTTTACCTCTTAATAAATTCGCTAAATCCAACAAAGCCGTATCATCATCATCGCCGTTCCACCTCGGTATTAACAAGGCGTTATCCCTATTTTCTGTTATCGCCGCTTCGTCCCAATCGACCAAAACAACCTTAAAATTAAAATTTAAAAAAAATTTACGAAAATTTGATACCCGAATTAATAACTTTTCGAAGTGACCTATTTAATTTATCCAAATCTTTAACATGTTTTCCATCGACGAAATTCGTCGCGTCCCTAACCAGCTTATACGTGATCAAGTTGTTGGGATCGAGGGCCTCCAAAATCGGAAACACCGTCATTCCCAATTCGGCTGTGTAAATAACTATTTCGTAAATCCCATTTAATGTTTCTAAGAAATGATCGATCCCCGGTCGTTTTTTGAATCGCCACCCTGTATTGTAGGTCCAATCGGGGTGCACGAGGACGTCTTTTAATTCCAACACTAACGTGTAAGGCGGTTGGTGATACGGATATTTTAATTCGTCGGGTAATAATTTTTCTCGGCTTGGCTCGTTTATTAACTAAAAAAAAAATTTATTTTTGCACCACCCTGTATATTAAACATAAAAAATCGTTCTAATCGAAAATTGTTTCGAATAAAAGTTGTTCTAAATTAAATAAATATTAATTTTTGTTAATAAAATTTTTGTGTTGGGTTTTACCTTTCGATAATAATTTAATTGATCCGCGGTTCTGTACAAATATTGCTCTAATAGCGACAAATTCGAAAATTCGTCCTCAATTTCTATCCCGTCTTCGTTAATTTTCGGCTTTCCCAATTCCATGATCAAAAATAATCCGATTCCGGTGAAGGAAATCCCGAAAAGCGTCAAGGTGAACTTCATCGTTTGCCAGGAATGTTCTTGTTCGTTTTGTTCGTTATCATCGTTACCTTTTTTGCTTGAATCTGTTTGCGTTACCGTTGAAATGATATTTTTCGAAACGATTTTTTCTTTGTTATCGTACTCAAATTTGGTTCTATTCTTTTGTAAGACTTCTTTGAGTACGTTTTCGTCCACAAAAATTTCTTCCAATTTCGGATTAGGCGGTTCTAATTTGGGCAATGATTTTCGTAACTTTGGGATGACCTTTTGCACGGTTGGTTCCATTTTGATTTTAGAAAAATCGCCCGATTTAATCGGTCTGGCAGTGCGAAATCGTTCGTTTTCGATATTTTGTTGTTTAAAATTGACGTCTCTGGGATTAATTTTAATTCTCCTTTCGATTTTCGCTTCCTTATTTAATTCTTGCGGCACCAATCGTATTCTGCGACCTCCACTTCCTTTATTACTTTCGTTATCATCGCTGTGTATCGAAAAAGCACCTCCTATTAAGTTATTGGGATAACCTTTCTTTTCTAAAAAAAATTTTCCAACATTTTTACCGGAAATCCCGCGATTTAATCCGGCTTTAATAATTCTTGTAAAAACAAACATCTTTTTTTGGATTAAAACGCTTTTTTCTTCATCGTCATTATTATTTCTTTAATTCCCACTTTCTTTTAAGCTCTTTTGACAGTTCATTCTAAGACTTACGCTTACTCCGATCGTTTAATCACTTTTAAATCGCTTCCGGTGAGGTGTTTTCGCGAGATTTTTCGTCGATTATCTCGTCTCGATGTTTGTTTCGATGATTTGCGACGATTCGAGTAATTTCTTGTGGTTTTTGAGGTCGATTCAATGAGTTTTTGTTACACGCCAAATTTGACAGCTATGCTTTTAATCCATCGTTCTTGGAGAAATTTAAATTTTTAATGTTGGCACAAATTTTAAAAAAATTTTAACTTCAAAAATTTTTAATTTTTTCGCGCGAATTTTATTTTGAGGTTATATTTGACCGAGCAAAATAATTTAATCGTATTTTTACGTCAAAATTCGTAATCGCCATCAAAAATCCTTTAAAATGAGTACCAACATGATGGGGTTATCTCAAAAAAAATTTTCAAGATGGCGACTTAATTTATTAAGGTTGTTGAGGTTATCTTTTTTAAAAATAAAGATAACCCCGTCGAGTTTGGACTCATTTTAAAGATTTTTTCATGATATATAAGAAAACGTTAATGAAAAAAATTTTTAGCAATAAAGTAAAATTAAGTTGGGTTAGAAAATAGTAATAATTTTTTCAAATTGATACATATAGATTCGTAATCTATATTAAAAATCCTTTAAAATGATACCAAACACGATATGGTTATCTTAAAATTGATTTTTCAAGATGGCGGATTATTTTGTAACGATTTTTAGGTTATTTTTTTAATTTTTGAGATAACCCCATCGAGTTTGGACTCATTTTAAAGGACTTCTCATAATTAGTAGGAAAATATTGATAAAAAATTTCTCAACCTTAAACGATGAGTTAAATTGGCTTAGGTTGGCTTGGAAAATAATTTTTTCAAATTGATACATTTCGATTCGTAATTTATATTAAAAATCCTTTAAAATGATACCAAACACGATATAGTTATCTTAAAATTGATTTTTCAAGATGGCGGATTACTTTATGTAAATGTTTAGGTTAACTTTTTTGTTTTTTAAGATAATCCTATCGAGTTTGGACTCATTTTAAACGACTTTTCATAATCTGTAAGAAAATATTAATAAAAAATGTCTCAACCCTAAAGGTAGAGTTAAGTTGGCTTAGGTTAACTTGGAAAATAATTTTTTCAAATTGATAAATTAAAATTCACAATCTACATTAAAAATCCTTTAAAATGATACCAAACACGATATGGTTATCTTAAAATTGATTTTTCAAGATGGCGGATTACTTTATGTAAATGTTTAGGTAAACTTTTTTGTTTTTTAAGATAACCCCATCGAATTTGGACTCATTTTAAAGGACTTCTCATAATTAGTAGGAAAATATTAATAAAAAATTTCTCAACCCTAAACGATGAGTTAAGTTGGCTTGGAAAATATTTTTTTTAAATTGATACATTTAGATTCGTAATCTATATTAAAAATCCTTTAAAATGATACCAAACACGATATGGTTATCTTAAAATTGATTTTTCAAGATGGCGGATTACTTTATGTAAATATTTAGGTTAACTTTTTTGTTTTTTAAGATAACCCCATCGAGTTTGGACTCATTTAAAAGGAATTCTCATAATTAGTACGAAAATATTAATAAAAAATTTCTCAACCCTAAACGATGAGTTAAGTTGGCTTAGGTTGGCTTGGAAAAATTTTTTTTCAAATTGATACATTTAGATTCATAATCTATATTAAAAATCCTTTAAAATGATACCAAACACGATATGGTTATCTTAAAATTGATTTTTCAAGATGGCGGATTAATTTGTTAATATTTAGGTTAACTTTTTTGTTTTTTAAGATAACCCCATCGAGTTTGGGCTCATTTTAAAGGACTTCTCATAATTAGTAGGAAAATATTAATAAAAAATTTCTCAACCCTAAACGATGAGTTAAATTGGCTTAGGTTGGCTTGGAAAATAATTTTTTCAAATTGATACATTTAGATTCGTAATCTATATTAAAAATCCTTTAAAATGATACCAAACACGATATGGTTATCTTAAAATTGATTTTTCAAGATGGCGGATTAATTTATGTAAATGTTTAGGTTAACTTTTTTGTTTTTTAAGATAACCCCATCGAATTTGGGCTCATTTTAAAGGACTTCTCATAATTATTAGGAAAATATTAATAAAAAATTTCTCAACCCTAAACGATGAGTTAAATTGGCTTAGGTTGGCTTGGAAAATAATTTACTCAAATTGATAAATTAAAATTCACAATTTACATTAAAAATCCTTTCAAATGATACCAAACACGATATCGTTATCATAAAATTGATTTTCAAGATGGCGACTTAATTTATAGGTTATCTTTTTCATTTTTAAAGATAACCCCATCGAGTTTGGGCTCGTTTTGAAGGATTTTTCATGTACTATAAGTAAACATTACATTAATCAAATTTTTTTTATTTAATTATTAAACATGATCGTTAACAAAAAATTATTTTATTACGATTTTATAAGAAAAGGTAAGTAATTAACGTAAATCAGGTTCATCAGCTAATTTCCTTTTAATCCTAAGCAATAAAGTGGTGTACCACGGATCTAGGGTTTGCATTGAGTCATAGTCTTTAATGACATCTGTTAAGCCATCGACGTTTTGTTCTTCGATGTTTTTTATTAAATTTGAACAAAATTTGTATTCCCTGGAATCGCCGAATGCGGGATAGATTTTAACGTATTTCTCTAAATGTTTTCCTGTTTCTCCCGGATCCAAACAAAGTCGGCAAATTGCAGCTTTAAAAAAGTATTCTTTCGCGCCGTATTTTAAAAGGCTGCTTTTCAAGGAATTCGTTCCGATTTTCTCGTANGAATACGTCCCGATTTTCTCGTAGATATGAATCGCTTGTTCGTAACGTTCGTTTTCGGCGGAATGTTGAGCGATTTTTAATAAACATCGATTCGCCGATGAGCAACTTTCTTCGCCTTTGTAAAAATCGGCCGCTTTTTCGTAATGATACAACATCTTTCCGACTTCCTCCGATTCATTTTCGTACATCCCCGCTATATTTTCATGCATTTTCGCCGCGGTGTTAAATCTTCCTAAATCTAAATAGATATCGATCGATTTTAAATAATTTTTTTCGGCTTCCGGTTGGGCGTTAATTTTTTTAAAGCAAATCGCTGCTTGTTCGTAGTCCAAAGCGGCTTGGTGTTTATTATTATTTTCGTGAGATCCGGTTAAAGTGGCCGCTTTTGAGTAGCAATCGGCTGCTTCGGCCCAATTTTTCGAAATTTTGTATAAATTTCCCGCCTTTTTGTAACACTCGATGGCATCATCAATTTTTTTTTGGCCCCCGAAGAAAAATCTCATTATCCCGGTGTTTAACGATAGTTTTTGTTCAGCTTCGCACACCCATTTATCAGCTTCCGATTGATTCATTCGATACATTTTCTTTTTCTTTTAGAAATTTTTGAAAGATGTCAAAATAAATTATTAAAAATATAACCTTTTTGGGTTATTTATTTTCAATTATTTTAATGTGGTGATAAGTGATAATCAACATTTTATGACTACTTTCAAAATAATTTTAAGAAATATTAATTTTTATTAAGAGAATTGTACTAGAAACGAAATTTGCTTTAAAATGAGTCCAAACTCGACGGGGTTATCTTTAAAAATGAAAAAGATAACCTAAATATTCTAAAAAATGTAATCGCCATCTTGAAAATATACATTAAATGATAAATGTGGCGTGTTTGGTGTTGTTTTAAAGGATTTTTAATGAAGATTACGAATTTTGATTAATTAATTAAAAAGAAATATTTTTTAAGTCAATCTAACCCAATTTAATTTAATGTATGGAGTTGAGAATTTTTTTATTAATATTATGTTGTAGTACGTGAAAAATCCTTTAAAATGAGTCCAAACTCGATCGAGTTATCTTAAAAAACAAAAAAGTTAACCTAAACATTAACATATGTATAAATAAATCCGCCATCTTGAAAAATCAATTTTAAGATAACCATATCGT